TGTACGTGAACAATTACAAAAAAAAATCACAACTCAGCCGTAACTTACAATAAGTCATAATATAACTCAGCCGTAATGTATCATAACTCAGCCGCAATGTGTCATAACTCAACCGTGAACGACGTTTCGTATTTCCCTGTTTTTTTGTCGGAAAACGAAAAATCTCCACCCAAGTTGAGGAGAAATGCGACATCAATGACGACGAGAAAGAGAGACACACCGATTATAGGATAAGCGGCCAGAAGAGACGAGAAAAATAAGCGGCGAGAGTTAGGGTTCTTCGTCGGCTTCAAGAGAGAAAGAACAGTTTTTTTTCTTATTTTTTTTAGTCTTCTGCCTTTTCCTTGGCCTATTCCGATCTGACATAGACACCTTTTTTGCAACAAATGAAACAAAACTCGAGAATGGGATATGAGATTTCGATATAGTGGCAAAATAACAAGACAGTAATGAGATTACGAGTTAGTGCCATAGGTTTACCGTTCACTCTCTTCGTCTTCATTATTGTCATCTTCAAAGCAACTCTCACCATGAACAAAACCACATGTGAGGACCAAGAACTCTTTTCTTTTCTTAGAACGTTGTATGTACGCAATTTGAGAAGAAATACGATAGGAATTACGACAAGAGAGAGACTCGTTGAGAATCGAAGCGGCCAAAAGAGATGAGAGAGAGAGAAGCAGCGAGAATTAGAATTCTTCGCCGGAATCGCGGAGGTAGAAATATTTTTGCCATAACTCAGCCGTAACTTACAATAATTCATAATATAACTCAGCCGTAATGTACAATAACTCAGCCGCAATGTGTCATAACTCAGCCGTAATGTACCATAACTCAGCCGCAAACGACGTTTCGTATTTCCCTGTTATTTTTGTCAGAAAACGAAAAGTCTCTATCCAAGTTGAGAAGAAATGCGACAATAATAACGACGAGAAAGAGAGAGACACACTGATAATAGGATAAGCGGCCGGAAGAAACGAGAAAGAAAAGCAGCGAGAGTTAGGGTTATTCGTTGGCTTCGAGAGAGAAAAAACAGTTTTTTTTTTGTTTGTGAATAGTGACGAAAATCTTCAGTTTCTTCCTCTTTTATCATTTAAGACAGAATAATGATGTGGCAATTTCATGTATCACGTGGCATGTCGAATCTGACGTGGCAATTTTTAAGTGAAAACAGATTAAGTGTGTTTATTGTAATTACACCCATTTCACTAAACATATAAGGAATAAAAAAAAAATTTGGTTGTTTAAGGAATAAACATACAATTGTGATCTATTTAAGTAATTCTCCCAATGGTTTATTAGTTAAATAACTAAACAACCGACAGAAATTGTCAAATTGACTATAACTATCAGAAAAAAAAAAAACATTTTTTAAAAGTCACTAGCCATTGAAAAAATCAAAGAGACATGACACATAATATTAGTACATGAAATAACAAGTAAAGAGACTCTGTGTTGTTGCCCGACTTAGTTAGCATCAACGAGTATGTTAAGTGGCTTTGGCAAATTAGTAAACAACATATGAACCAAACAGTCGAATATGAGCCAGTTCGAATCTCATAACAAATATTACAAAAAATTTGGACTATTTCTTGATTTATGCGTGTCATCCTTGCGCACGAGCCATATATACTAATCTTCTCTGTATCGTTCAAATTTTATTTGTCACTAACTTGATTCTAACAATATATAAACTCAGACTTTTCTTTTGACCCAAGCAATGTGGGGCTTAATTTCTATAAGGTTCACAACTTAATGATATAATCTATAAATCGATCAGTTAATACTCAGAGCCTTAATCAGTTTCTTCGATATTTAGAGGTCAATTTGAAATTGATTGCTCAAACTCACATATGTAATCAAGTCTTGTGAACATTTATCTCCAATAATCTATTAACAAGATAATACCCACAGCCTTAGTTAATCCCCCTTTTGGAAGCTACTAACTTTTTTTTTTTTTTTTAAAAAAAAAGGAAATGAAAGATAATTATAATTTCTGATTAACTTTTCATGTGTATGCCTTACATATAATTAAGTTGCAAATCCAGTTTACATAAATACCGGTTATTCAGGGGAAATAAAATAACTAAACCAAAGAAATATTAGAACAGAGGAGAAGAAGAGATGCGTCAGACGTGTGATTACTATAACACTGAACTGGTTTGGGAGTGTTAAAATGATTCCGGGATAAACGTCTCCAACGATGCATCCGCGTCTGATTCAACATCAGGCATAATGACTATCTCCGCTTCACAAACTTTATTCATTTTTGGGTCTTACATATATGATATTGGTAAATTTACTTATTTAACAATACGAAGATAGGCACAAATATCAGTTTTTCTGGATGTCATACCTCCGAGATCTCATAATAATTAATAGCTAACAATGTTTTGATGTGTGATAAAAAGAAAGTAACTATGATAAATTTATAGTGAATAAAATTTTTGAAAGACAGATCCATACATATTAAAATTGTGATATTTTTGAATAATATGGAATAAATTTAGGGGAATTTAATTTTATATCATGCTCAAATTTTTTTTTTTTTTTGGTCAACATATCATGCTCACTGTAAAACAAATATTATGAATATATAATTTTATGTATGCAAATGTTCTAATTTTTATGTATGTTTCTACTTCTAATATAAAAATGGTCAAATTTGATTATATATCGATAAATATTCATTCGCGCTGTTAGTTTTTTTTATTGTTTTTATTATTTTATTGAAAAATATTACATTGCATTTATTACTTTATATAAGTTTAAAAACTATATAATACAATATATTTGTTAATCTTTCTCAATCTCTAACTAGTATTTACATTTACTGTTTAAGCAACACCAACAATTCATTTTTTCATAATGTCATTTACATTAAAACAAAAAAAAAAACAGTAATTTTCCCCGCGTTACAGGGCGGATCCAATCCAAGTTTGAGAATAATATGGAATAAATTTAGGGGAACTTTATTTTATATCAAGCTCGCTATAATCAAGGATTTCGAAACCCTAGTCAACGATAAGGAGATCCAACTCCAACCAAGGATCCTTCTCGCAAAGGTCTAAAGGTTTTGAATAAGATGGATAAGCCTACGCGGAAGCAGGCTTGAGATTTAACGGCGGTGTTTTGGGACATTAATCTGTGCCCGGTTCCCCCTGGATTTGAACCTAGTCGGGTCCGTCCGTGTATTAACCGGTTTTTGGAGAATCGTGGTCCTGTCACCATCACTACTGTTGGCGTTCTCTCAGACGTCTCTACTGAGATCCTTAGAGGACTCTGTGTCAGTACAATAATCTTGTACCGTATAACCCAAGTTAGCTGATCTCGCTAACATTAGTAAATTACGGTGACAGAAAATTAGAAAATTAGTGATCTTTGGTGCCTTAATTAGCATCAAAGAGACGACGAGTATATTAGTGGCTTTGGCAAAATAGTAAACAACATATGAACCAAACAAAAGAATAAGAGCCAATTCGAATCTCCTAATAAATATTCAAAGCTCTAAATTTTTTTTAAAAAAATTGTACCATTAAACGCATACTTTTCTTTCAACCCAAGCAATGTGGGACTTTTCTATCGGTATAGACGTATCGTTCTATTAAAAAGCTTATTATTTCTTCGTAGACCTGTTAAATTAATTGCCAGAATTCTGTTTACGGTTTGTTGGTTTTTCTTGTGATGGAAAAACAATTGAAATATATTCAGGAAAGCATCGTAACAAAAACAACTTCTACATAAGTTATCAAGTTATCAAGTGAAGGTTGAAATAATGTCATAGAAACTTCTAGTTACATAAAGGAAATTAAAGCGTCTCATAATATCATAAAATCTTCCAATTGAGGAATAGAAGAAACGATCGTATTTGGTATTAACGAACTATCTTCACTTATCTGGTCGACGACATCTCATACAAATCTGTACGTAACGATCTTCGGATACCAGAAACGATCTATGCAATTTAAAGAGCAAATGTATCTATCTGAGGTTCCAAGCATCTTCAAGATGATAGGGTACATGCAATAGGACTCACATGCTCTGCAAAATGGACGAGACATACTGTTATTGTGCACCACCTCATATGACCTGTGGGAATACGTTAATGTGCTTCTTGGCATGATCCCTGAAAAGTCTCCCAGCACGCACTTTGTATGCAAACTAGCTTGTTGATCTTTGCACGTATAGAACCATGTCTTTGGATTCGTTTCTTTCTCACAAATGTCACACCAGTATTTGTCACTTGCTTCTTCACCATAGCATAGTGAGAGAGGATGGTCTTCTACTCTATGCTTTACCACTTGTGGTAATGTGGCGCACTTGAAGCATAAGACAAACCCACAACCACTTTCAATGCACGTAAGGATAGAATATGACCACATGTAACAGAAGTATAAAACAAATCCACAACCATTGCATTTTTTTTCTTCCGTTCGAGGAATGGAATATAAGGGATGGTGAGGATGACTCGGATGGAAAAACGGTTCAGAAATTGAACCGCATAGTACATCTAGCTTTATATCCCAGACTGGTACATGAAACCATTGGAGAATCGATCACACGCAGTACAGTGAAAGTAATCAGCCTTGCTTGTAACTAAAGTAAGACGTTCATTATGTAGCACATGCCATTTCTTTCTAGGAGATTCAGCACATTTTTGGTGAAGAGTGAAATCGCAATTGATACATCCGTAGAAAGGCTGAAGACAAATGGGATGAGTGCAAGCATTACACCGCTTGTTTTCCTCGCATAGAAGACCATTAACGTGGAACCTTAGATAATGCTCTTTGTGGCTGAAATGTTGTATTGTGTTGTCATCTATTACCACATATGGTTCTATATCTTCTATCTCTTCAGGTACTCCTTCGAGTTCTTTCCTGTTCCAAACATCAATTCTAGTAGCACATTTTGAATGAACGACATATTTAGGACACCTTTGACAAGAATACCCGCCCCAAATCCAATCCACCTTCTGGCGACAAACTCCACATACAGAATTCACAACACCAAGAACAGAAGTGCGAGAAACACGGTGATCATGCCGATTGATGTTTATGATGCGCGGAAGGGAAAGACACCCTTGATGTATCATGAAATCACATTGAAGACATATATAAGGGCTTCGGTCTCCACTCAACCCACAAGCATTACATGTAAAAGAATCAAGCCTTGGGCGAAAAATAAGTTGATGGTCGTGAGCTTTCAAATTCATAACAGATTGTGGTGGTGGGTTTAAAACACAAGTCATACCCAAGCTGAAATTGCAAGCAGAACAATGATAAAACAATCTATTAGAGTAACTAAATGTACTTGCGCAAAGACGACACTTTCCATCAGAATAGTCCGGTGGATGACCAGTGTGGAGCTTAAGAGGGTGTAAGGGGTGATAAGAGTGGTTTACCTCTGATGGGTGTTTTGCCTCCGGTGGTATCCATACGCAATCCATATGGAATGTTAAATCACATTCAAGGCATTTGTAGTGAAACTGATAAGAAACAATACCACCACATTTTGCATCGCAATACTTGATCAGCTCCTTGTCCTTGTAATATGTGAACTCCTTGACTTTGAGAAGGGTAAGCTTGTGGTGATGCGTCTCGGAAATGTCAAGAAACTCTGGTGGTGGGTACTTGGCACAGTATAGATCCACATCGAAGTCACAGATCTCACAACAGTAGCATAGATTCTTGATGCTCTTGCCACATAAATCACATGAATGGTTTGGTTTACTTTGACGAAGCTTAAGAGTGTGAACAGCGTGAGATGGGTGTTCAATGAATTCAGAGGACTCTTCAATACATACCCTGTGAACATAGAAGTTACATCTTTCGCAGTAATAGCCACCAGTTGTAAATCCGGAGCGTCCACAGCATTCACCTTTCCACATACTATTCCAAGGTATCATAAGATGCTCGTGGATCAAAGGTAGTGACACTCCCTCAGATTCCATGCTCGTATACTACAAAAATTGAAGAACAAAAAGAAGAAGAAGAAGAGTTGAGTTTGAGATCTCAAATCTCAAAGGCTTTCAGTCAAAGCTATGCTCCATTCAAGTCTCGTTCTCTCTCCACTCAAAAGTCTTTGTTTAATCTCAAAGATTCTCTTATATATCAAATTAAGTTAATTATTATGGTTTATTAATTATAAGTTAAATAATCACTAGCCTTTGATAAAAACAAAGAGACCATTAGCTAATGACATAGACAATGATAGCTAATTAATAGACAACATATATAGGAACCAATAGAAGGTTTTGTTGGGCTTAAACTCGTTGATGTATCCGTGAAAAAATCCAAAACCTTAACCAGATTTAACTGCTCAAGCTTTGATCCAGAACAACCTTTCTTTTTTTTTTTTTCGTCAAAACAACCTAGTGATTTCGAATACCTCTTCACTACAATATAAACTTGTAAGGTTATCAAAAATCAAAATCATCAGAACAAAAGTGGAGTTCATATCAAATGTAATATTATCCCTTGTTCACAAGATGAAGAATTTAAGTAGTAAGATATATGCCAAGATAGAAGTTGCTCTCTTATATTTCATCATAAGAATGTACAGATGTTTATACATAAATGAATCTAATGCTGTCACGAGCATAAACCTAGTAATAGTATGTCTCGTCCATTTTACAGAGCGTGCGAGTCGTCTACTCGTATTGTATGTACCTTATTATCTTGAAGATGCTTGGAACTATAGATTGATACATTTGCTCTTTAAAATCGTTTATGGTATCCGAAGATAATTAGGTATAGTTATGTATGAGATGTCGTTGACTAGAAAAGTGAAGATAGCTTGTTAAACCCCAAACGGAAAAAAAATTAAGTAGTGTCTTATTATTCTCCAATTGGAAGAATTTTTGAATTATGAGTTGCTTTCCTTTATGACATTAACAAACTCAAATATTTTGGAATATTTTGCTTTCCTTTATGACATTAAGCAACTCAAATTAAGTAGTGACTTATTATTCTTCCATTGGAATATTTTGAACTTAAATAATTTCAAAATAAATAATTATGTATACCCTAAATCTTATTAGAAGATCGAATCTAGTGTGTTTGGGTTCACAACCTTAATTTCATTTTTGGGTTCACTTTTAAAAGTCTGTTGAGACCAATGATCTTCGGATACCAGAAACGATCCATGCAGTTTAAAAAGCAAACATATCGATATGAGGTTCCCAGCTTTTTCAAGAAGATAAGGTACATGCAATGCGACACACGCTTTGCAAAATGGACGATACATACTATTATTACGCACCACCTCATACTTTGCTAGCTCGTTGACATCTTCAGAGATAATCTGCATATGCTACGCATTCGAAAGAGCAAACGTATAAATTTGAGGTTCCAAGCATCTTCAAGATGATAGGATACATGCAACGGGACTGACACACCCTACAAAATGGACGAGACATACTATTATTGAAGACAACCTCAAATGGTCGGTTGAACAAATTTGGTGTGCTTCTTGGCATGAGTCCTGCAAAGTCTCCCAACAAATACTGGTGTGCTTGCTGATCTTTACACGTGAAGAAGCATGTCTTTGGATTCGTTTCTTCCTCACAAATGTCACACCAGTATTTGCCAATGGCCTCTTCGCCATAGCATAGTGAGAGAGGATGATCGTCTACTCTATGCTTTACCACTTGTGGTAATGTGGCACAATCGAAGCATAAGACAAATCCACAACCACTTTCGATACACGTAAGCACATTAGGTGTCCATCTGTTGCAACCATTGCATTTCGTGTCTTCAACTGCTGGAATGTAATACAAGGGATGATGGGGATGGCTTGGATGGACAAAAGGCTCTGAAACTGAACCACACAGTACATCTAACTCCTTATCCCCACATTGGTACATGAAACCATTGGAAATTCTACGGCAAGCTTCACATTGAAAATAATCAGTCACGCTTGTAACTAAAGTAAGCCGATCATTGTGTAATACATGCCATTTCCTTCTAGGAGATTCAGCGCACATCTGGTGAAGAATGAAATCACAATCCATACAACCATAAAAGGATTGTAGACAAACTGGATGGCTACAAGCGCTGCACCGTTTGTTTTCTTCGCAAAGAAAACTGTTAATGTGGAATCTTAGGTGATGCTCTTTGTGGCTGAAATGTTGTATAGTGTTATCATCTATTACCACATATGGCTCTATATTTTCTGTCTCTTCAGGTACTCCTTCGAGTTCTTTTCCATTCCACACATCATCTCTAATAGCACATTTTGAATGAACAACATAGCCTGGACACTGCAAACAAGAATACCCGCCCCAAGTCCAATCTACCTTCTCGCGAAAAACTCCACAAACAGAATTGACAACACCAAGAACAGAAGTGCGAGAAACACGATGATCATGCCGATTGATGTTAATGATGCGTGGTAAGGAAAGACACTCTTGATGTATCATGAAATCACACTGAACACATATATAAGGGCTTCGATCTCCGCTCAATCCGCAAGCATTACATGTAAATGAATCAAGTCTTGGGCGAAAGATGAGTTGGTGAGCATGAGCTTTCAAATCCATAACAGATTGTGGTGGTGTATTTAAAACACAACGCATATCCAAGCTGAAGTTGCAAGAAGAACAATGATAAAACAATCTGTCATCAATCTTTCTCGCGCAAAGACGATATTTTCCATCAGAATATTTCGGTGGTTGACCTGTGTGAAGCTTCAGAGGATGTAAAGGGTGGTAAATATGGTTTACCTCTGAAAGGTGTTTGTCCTCCGACGGATTCCAAACGCATTCCACATGGAAGGCTAAATCACATTCATGACATTTGTAAGGAAACCCATCCCAAATCTTCTTACCACATGGTCCACATTTAGCATCACAGCCGAACATAATCTCCTGCTTGAGACGAGTGAGCTTGTGGTGATGCGTCTCGTAAATATCAATGACCTCTGGTGGTGGATACTTGGCGCAGAATAGATCCACGTCGAAGTCACATATCTCACAACGATAACATAGATTCACTATACTCATGTCACATAAGTTACAGTTATGGCCTTGTTTACTTTGAAGCTGAAGAGTGTGAATGGAGTGAGATGGGTGCTCGATACATTCAGAGGACTCGTCAACACATCTCCTGTGAACAAAGAAGTCACATCTTTTGCAATAATAGCCATCACTGATAGCTTTCAAGCGTCCACAACAATCACCTTTCCTCAGATCATTCCAAGGCATCATAACATGCTCGTGGATCAACGGTCGTGATACTCCCTCAGACTCCATGTTCGTATACTATGAGACTGAAGAAGAAAGAAGAAAAAGTTGAATCTGAGATCTCAAAGTTATGCTTCTTTCAAGTCTCTTTATCTCTCCACTTAAAAGTCTTTGTTTAATCGCTCGTAAATCTTTGTAGTCATTCGATAACAAAAATAATTTAATTATACAAGGCTTTGAGCACAAGGTAACGCTGTTAGTTACAGTTGTATTCGGATAGTCATGGTATAAATAACCATACAAGGCTTTGAGCACAAGGGAAAGACAATACATTAGGTGCCTTGTGTCTTGCGCCACTAACTTGTGTCTCTCTATCCATTTACTTCCCTGTGCATTGGATAGTCGAAAAACATAAAGAAACGAACGGCGACAAAGACAGATGAGACAGTTACTGAGAAGATAGGACAAGGAAATAAAGTTCCACAAGACAGACTACAGATGAAAAAAGTACAAGAAAATATAGCTAATTGACAGTTGATATTTGCCGATAAACAAAGTTTTAGTTTTGTTGTCATAATAAGCATTATCTGATTTATCTATACGATTAATCAACTGTTAAAAGTGAAACCCAGTTCAAATTCGGACCTGATAGTCTAAAAACATAAGGTTAAAAGTTGGAATCCCTTTATTCTGGTTTCTTGGAGGCTTCGGGATTGTTGTCAGCATTCGAGTCATTGGTCTTTAAAACTTCGTCTTTTGGTTTCTCAGCTTCGCGGGGACTGGTCGAATTCTTCTCAGTATCCTCCTTTGTGTCTTGTGCAGGTTTTTCTATGCCGATAGTCAGAGTTGATACCTCATCCCTTGAGGCGTACCAGGAATAGCCACAGTCAACACACTCCAGCTAGATGCAAAACAGAAGCAGAATGTAATTATTAGGATCCGTGGATTTGCACGACAAGAGAAGAAGATCATCATGGTATATGATGTCCCTAGCTTATATACAACAAACTACCATCTCTTTTTTATTTTGGATTGGCAAATTATTATTTTTATCTAAGGTTAGACTTCGTAATAAGGTAAAGCATAAGAACCTGATAGCGATCTCCATGCCCAGCTTGGATGATATCGCGCAGGCCGACTGTCAATTGATTGCATCTCGAGCATCTTGCATCAGTCATCTGCATCCGGAACAAACACATGATATAATCATAGAAACCTCCTACTTAAAATCCAGCATACCAATTTAAAAAATACATTTTAGAAAGAAAAATAAAAGACCTGCATTTGATCCGCCTCATCAGGCTCCTGCTTTGCTGTTTCGTCAGCAGTTAGACCCTCCTGAATCCCACAAAAATTCAATTTTTAGTGGTTTTAATAAGTAAGAAATACTCCTTAATATATTTTTACAATGCAAAAAAGTAACAACATTTAGAAGAGATCTAAAATGGAATCTATGCCAGTGAAATTAAGGAAGGGAGCTGAGAACTAAAGGGGGAGATAATATGTGTGCACATATGTAACAGAAAAAGTCTGTAACCTTCAGCTCAGTGGGTGACATGTTCAAAATCTTTGCAGGCTCTAACTCGCCATTGAGCAGTCGTCTAGCCAGCAGCTTAGTGTTCTGCAAAAAAAAAAAAAAAAAATTTAATTACTACTAAACACTAAGAGGAAACGCTAAAGTGATGTGTAAGGCAATTTGAGAACCTCCAGAAAGTTTCAAACATCAACAAACATATTACTGTTCGGATGTTAAGTCCAGTAATCAACCATTGATAAGGTATTCAAATTTTACCATGTCATATCAAGAATGTCACATTACATTCATATATCAAATGTCATGAACAAGGCAGAGAATCAAGAGCACAAAAATTAGGGGGAAAATGAAATGGCATAAATGCAGATTCTAACCTTGAGATTGAAAACCAGTGTCCTCATCTTTTGGTTGTATTTCTGATAATCAGATGCAAGAGAAGCATGTGAAGCATTCTCAAGAGCACACACTGGAGGAACAGCAGCATCTGGCCAGAGAAAACTCTCATCCTGCCAACCAATGTTAACAAAAGAGTTATTCCAGCAATTACTGAATTCTTAATATGTTTCAGATAACCAACATGTAATTTGGCCGATTTTGGTCGGAAAGAATGTGAAAGATCACTGTATAAAGAGAGATAATATTTAGAGTAATCAAAATGTAAGAAACGTTTGCTTAATACCTTTCCATTTGCAGGCTTTGTGTCTTTCTCATCCTGTTCATGATGGGATCCATCTGAACCCACCTTGGCATCGTCGCCAGCTGGTTTGTTCTCAGAGATATAACATATGTGTTGGACTGCCTCGAGAAGCTTCCCCAAACACTTGTCACGATGAGCATCACCTGTTAGTGAATCAAACTTCTCTAAGATGGCATAATGCTCTGATGAGATACCCGCACCACTTCCAGGAGTTTCAGCCTTTAGAGAAGAGTCTTCCTCCCTTCTAACATCAACAGGACTTATGTTCGCTTTCCGGAAAGATCTTTTCGCCTTCAACATATTCTCCGGGTCAACAAGTGTTTCCTCAGATTCAAGGTCCGGAAGATCACCCAACTGCGACATCGTCTTTTCGACAAGAAGGTCGATTTCATGTTGTTTCGAGTCTTCATAGTCTTTGTCAGTCAGCTTCCACAGCTTCTTTTCAACAGTATCATAGACCTTCCGTACAATAAACCCAGGGTTATTTTTGCGTTTCGGAAGTTGTTTATGGGCCGGGACAAAATAGACCACACATCTGTGCATCACAGATTCTGCTGGCACTTCATCACGATGGAAACTGTAGAATAGTTCTCGTGTATCACTCGATTGCCAGTTTCCACCACCCTTTTTCTCTGCCTCTTCTGGGCGATAAAACCACTGTCCCAGAATCATCATGCTCCCATCTTTAGTTTGGGTAATATCCTGAAAAAGAAGCAGTTCTTTAATTCCAAGTGGATGATAAAACAAAAACTTATATAGCAAATACAAATTTTAGCACACCATACCTTAATAATTGCAACATATGGTTTTTGACTTTTGTCCTCAGGAACCAACAGCACCGGATCCTCCTACACAAAAAGAGAGTGTTAGAGAGACTAAAAGTAAATGTCTCTAAGGTCTAGAGCATGAAGTAAACCAGACACTATATGAACACTCACGACAAACATGTATATGATCCTAAACATTCAGGTACAAGAGAATTTATGATGTCAAAGAAAAACCTCCAAAGTCTCTAGGCACTGTGCAGTCAGAAACTAGAAATCTCAACTCCAAAAACGAGAGAGAAACATTCCTTTGACAGATCAATGAGTTTCCAACAAATGACAACAACCTTGAGCGTATGAGACCAAGCGGTATAAACCTAATACATAGAGCATCTATAGCTGACACTCTACATCATCTTAGGTTCTTCACAAACAATAGCCATGGTTCCAAACAGACATCAAAACATCTTAAAACCCTAGATTTCACCATCCACGACAATGTAACACCAGCAAGCAATGCAGATTCCATTGGTATAAAAAAATCTCAACCAACCCTCAATTCTAAATCTACAAAACCGGATCAGAACATGTAAAAGCAAAACCCACAAGCTCAATTCGATTCACAGCAATCTAAAACCCAAAATTCATCAAAAATCAGAAACCCTAGAGATAAAAACCAAACTCACCACTTCATATTTGTTGCCATCATACTCAAATTGCAAAAAATGAGTTCTTTTCCCTTTCCCTTTACCCGTAACCTTGATCGAATCACCAACAGGACTCGCATCATCAGGCTTCTCTTCTTCTTCTTCCTCCTCCTCTTCTTCTTCAGCCTCCGGAGGCGTTTCTTCTTCCTCTACCTCCATCATATCCTCATCATCCCCTTTCTTCCCCTTTCTCCTCCTCTTCTTCTCCGATTCTTTCTCCTCTACATCTTCGTATAGCTTCACCGTCTTACGCTTCCTCCGTTTCCCCAAAACCTCCTCAGGAGACACCGAGTTTCTTCCCTTAGACCTAGTGATTGGTACATCGTCGTCTTCGTCACTCGACACTTGAGCGAATCGCCGAGACAACACCATCGGTTTCCTCTTCGAGAAATCGGAAAACCCAAAAAAGGAAAAATAGAAAATTTATATAGAAAAAAAAAATTGGATTTTTATTTTTGTTTAATTACTTTGAGGTAAGTGAGAAAATGGTTCCTCTTTGTCTCCCTATTTATAATGTTTTTATCGTTGACTACTTTGATAATTAGATAAAATGAAATCCTGAATTTGGGGATTTTTTCTTAAATTTTCTGAAAAATAATAATAACTGTATCTCTAAGTTGAATATCATATTTTAATTATACTTTAATTAGCTCATATTATTTTTCTTTGAAAATAAATATTTTATCCCTTTCATGAGAGATACAGTCTAAGAAACAAATTTATGACTTAAAAATTGGTCATGTTCTTGAATTTTTTTTGGTTACTAGCAATTAAATATAGCGACAAAAACAGAGAAAAACTATGTTTGTGTTGTTTAAATACGTCATCGAAAAAGCCAGCGGCAGCGATAGAAAACATACTATAATAAAATGTGTAATTTGAAATGTGTAACTACAATGATTAAAAGGAAATAAAAACGGTATAATAATAGATTAACGGTCGTTTCCACGTGTCACTTTTAAAACTCTTAAAACACATATAAATTGTGTTGATGTGGATAACTTATTAATGATTAAAAATAAAAATAAAAAGTATTAGGCTAATAAAAAAAAATAGTGATCTGTTTGTTAAGAGATATTGGTACCATAATTAGTCAAAAATTAAGCTTTGTGATTTTTCAATATATTAAATATTTAAGGAAAGCATATTAATAAGACAATATATAGAATTTTGACTTATTATTTATGTTTTTAGATTGCAGCTTAAGTTAGAGTTATTGGACTAGAAGTGAGAGACCTGTTTGATCTTCTTTTGCTTTGGTTCATGGTGACACACAACACCATCTTCATACAATCAATCTCATCACTTTTATCACCTGAAAGGCCAGAACCCATAATTAATGGGCCTGAACTCACAATTAATGGGCCTGAACAATACTGGGCCGAGGCACTGCATTGTCAAAAAAGTACTAATACGTGTTGTGTTAAAAAAGACACGTGACTTGAAATAATGAAGAGACGTGGCAAAACAGTAATCTCCTCTATTTCCAACGGAGAATAATCTTTTCTCGTAGACACCTCCGATAGCCGACACGTGGATATTTATTCACCGTCAAAATAAAAAACGAGAAAAATATCTGGATTATGTGTGAATCATTATATACCACATGAACAAATATTAAATTCAAAGAAAAAACAATAAAAATATTGAAATTTAAAGAGAATCACAATTTAAACCCTCAAATCAAAGAAAAACAAAAAAAAAACAAGATTTTTCATCTATCTCGGTTGTTTCCATTTCCAGGTTTCAATCGAAAATTTCCTCTTGTTAATTTTAGATTTGATCTGGGTTTCGTGTGTACATAGATCGATCTTCAAGTTTCTTCATCTGGGTCTTGTAAAAATTTAAACTTTAGGGTTTTTTACTTGTAAAGTTTCTCTTTTTCTAATGGATACTTTGGGAAAGTGATTGGATTTAGGGTTTGTGACTTTAGCGGTGGGAAAGCTGTTTCGATTCTTGAGTTTCGATCTTTAATTGAGGTCTCTTGCAGCTTTCTCACAGTTTTTAGGAATTGTCTTAGGGTTTGATAATCATAGGTTGGTAGAGATTTGGAACTATTGAATTCGGATTTGGAGTTTCTTGGTTCTGTAATCATGGTGGATGCTATTGGTGCTGTATCATTGGTTGGTCATAGACCTTCGATTGTGAGGGTTACGGTGAAGAATGAATCGAGAACGCAGAGATCACAGAACGTAGTTCGGTTTCCGGTGAAGCTAGATTATAGTGCGAATCATCTGGTGGTGATGCAGAGTGTGAAAAAGAGTCGGATGTCTGTGTTTCCGATCAGGGCGGTTGCGATGGAATTGACTAAAGAGATGCCTGCGTATAAGAAGAAAGACGAGAGGTTACCGAAAACTTGGAATTATCTTGATTCTGGTGCGGATGATAAACCCGGTGTATGGCCTCCTGAGAACAAAGCTGATAAGCCTTCATTGCATAATCCTTTGCTTAGACAGGAACGGATGGGTTGCGGTTGGTTAGGTGCGATATTTGAGTGGGAAGGAGTGTTGATTGAAGATAATCCTGACCTTGATAACCAATCTTGGCTGACTTTAGCTCAGGAAGAAGGGAAATCTCCTCCTCCGGCTTTTATGCTCAGACGTGTTGAAGGGATGAAAACCGAGCAGGCGATCTCTGAGGTTCTGTGTTGGTCGAGAGATCCTGCTCAAGTGAGAAGGATGGCTAAGCGTAAAGAAGAGATCTTTAAAGCTCTACATGGAGGAGCGTATAGACTAAGAGATGGGTCGCAGGAGTTTGTGAATGTGTTGATGAATAACAAGATCCCGATGGCTTTGGTATCGACTCGACCTCGGGAAACATTAGAGAATGCGGTTGGATCGATAGGTATCCGAAAGTTCTTCAGTGTGATAGTGGCATCAGAAGATGTTTACAGAGGTAAACCGGATCCTGAGATGTTCATTTATGCAGCACAGCTTCTTGATTTCATACCGGAACGTTGCATCGTGTTTGGAAACTCAAACCAGACCATAGAAGCAGCTCACGATGGTAGGATGAAATGCGTGGCTGTGGCTAGTAAACACCCGATTTACGAGCTTGGTGCAGCTGAGCTGGTGGTAAGAAGACTAGACGAGTTATCGATTATTGATTTGAAGAAACTTGCAGATACCGATTTGACGGAATTCGAACCAGAATTGGAGATGGAAAGGGAAGATGAACATGAGCTGCCTTCATCTGCTGTAGCAGTTGATGATATCTTCTAATGGAAGTGAAGTGATCTTCTGTAATATTGTACAGTTTTATGGAGTTGGATTCTTCCTCGTGTAATTCACAAAATGTTATAGTCTCTGTGTATAATTGGAACAGGTTAAACGAGGGATAAATATAAATGTACACTAATACGTATACTCTTCAAAAAGAATTATTAAAATGAAGACTAACCAACAAAGTCAGTCAACGTTCATTATATACAAAGACTCTTTATTAATCCTTTCTCCATCGTATTCTAGATCTCGATCCTCTCTTCACCTTGCTAATGAGTTCTTCTTTTTCCATTTCCACGCTTTTTAGAAAACTCAGATTCCAAGAAAGTAACAAAGACATCGATTCATCTACTTCATCAGTTCGGCCTCCATCGTCTTTGTCTCAAAACTGGAAACACCATGCCTTCTTGAGCTTCCACGGTGAAGATGTCCGAAAAACCTTTCTTACCCACATCCTTAAAGAGTTCAGAGGTAAAGGAATCGATCCGTTCATTGATAATGATATTGAGAGGGGCAAGTCAATTGGTCCAGAGCTCATTGAAGCTATCAAAGGATCAAGGATCGCGATCGTCTTGCTTTCGAGGAACTATGCTTCTTCTTCTTGGTGCTTGAATGAGTTGGTGGAGATCATGAAGTGTAGAGAAGAGTTGGGTCAAATAGTGATGACAATTTTCTATGATGTAGATCCAACTGACGTAAAGAAACAAATGGGAGATTTTGGGAAGGTCTTCAACAAAAATTGTAAAGGTAAACCAAGGAAGGAGACTAAGACATGGAGAAAAGCTTTGGAGAGTGTGGCCACAATAGCCGGAGAGCATTCGCGCAACTGGTTAGCTAGCCCTCTTCACTTCTACTTGCCTAACTAATTCATATTTTAGAAACACGTTAAAGTATGTTTCTTTATAGCAATCACACATAATTAGGGATATATTATAGATAAATTGCTCTCTCGGTTTGTTGTTTTAGGGTTAATGAAGCTGCCATGATAGAAAAAATAGCTATGGATGTTTCAAACAAGTTGAATACGTCCACACCATCAAGAGATTTCGATAGTTTAGTTGGAATGGGAGCTCATATGAAAAATCTGGGACCAATGTTACGTCTAGAATTAGATGAGGTGAGGATGATTGGAATTTGGGGTCCGTCTGGGATTGGGAAGACCACCATTGCTAGATATTTGTACAACCAAATCTCCAGCGGTTTCGATTTAAGCGTCTTTATGGAGGATGTCAAAGAGTTAACGTCTACAAGGCGAGTGTGTTCTGATGACTATAGTGAAAAGTTGCACTTGCAGAAACAGTTTCTGTCCCAGATACTCAATCATAAGGATATTGAGATTTCTCATCTAGGAGTTGTACAAGATAGGTTGAACGACAAGAAAGTGTTGATCGTTCTTGATAACATTGATCAGTCTATACAACTAGATGCCATCGCAAAAGAAACTAGTTGGTTTGGTCATGGAAGTCGGATTATCATCACAACTCAAGACCAAAAACTTTTGAAGTCACATGGCATCAACCAAATTTACAAGGTGGATTTCCCGTCAGTATATGAAGCTTCTCACATCTTTTGTATGTATGCTTTTGGTCAAAAATTCCCTAAAAAAGGTTTAGAGGCGCTTTCATCGGAAGTTACTAACCTTTTGGGTAAACTGCCATTGGGATTAAGAGTTATGGGCTGTCATTTCCGCGGAATGACAAAGGAGGAGTGGATAGACGCATTGCCAAGGTTAAGAAATCGCCTCGATGCCAACATTCAAAGCATTCTAATGTTCAGTTACAATGCTTTATGTGATGAAGATAAAGATTTATTTGTTCATATAGCCTGTCTTTTCAACTATCAAATAATTGAGCAAGTGGAAGATCATCTAGGAAATAGCTTCTTGGATGTGAAGCAACAGTTTCGCATTTTATCTGAGAAATCTCTGATATCTATCGAAAATGGACGAATATTTATGCACAATCTGCTAGAACAATTGGGTAAAGAAATTGTTCGTCGTGATCTCAGGAGCCAGTCCATTCGTGAACCTGGGAAACGTCAGTTTTTGGTTGATGCTAGAGATATATGTGAAGTACTCACTAATAACACGGTTAGTTCTATGTTTAGTCTTCTACTTAGATTGCTCCTAGCAAATTAAAATATATTTCATGACTAACCATCTCTAGTTCTCAACCTTTCTTTATGATGTATTTTCAGGGTAGTAAAAGTGTTATAGGCATACAATTTTTTTTTACTGGATTATCAGACGAATTAAGTATAAGTGAGAGAGCTTTTGAAGGGATGCCTAACCTTAAATTTTTAAGATTCAAGTGTATGTATGGTAATCAGAGTCACAATTTGAGCTTTCCGCAAGGTTTGAATCATCTATCTCAAAAACTACGATTACTCAACTGGGATCGTTTTCCAATGACATCTCTGCCTTCCAATTTTTCTACGGAGTGCCTAGTTGAATTATGTATGGTAGACAGCCAACTTCATAAGCTATGGGATGGAGATCGGGTAAGGAATTTTCATGTGTTTCTCTCCTATTTTAAAGTTTTCGTGTGATTTTGTCTATACTATCTTTTTCGTACACCTGTTAAGCTTTAAAAAGGACCGATCTTAACACGATGTTGTCTATGCATATTTGTACAGCCGCTCCGTAACCTTAAGTGGGTGAATTTGCGTGGGTCGAAAAACCTAAAGGAATTACCTGATCTCTCAAGTGCCATGAACCTTCAATATATGTTTCTTTCTTCCTGCTCAAGTTTGGTGGAGCTCCCGTCCTTGAATGCCACTAATCTCAAACAAATTGACATTTTTAAATGCTCAAGTTTGGTGGAGATTCCTTCATGGATTGGAAATGCCATTAATCTATGGTTTTTGAATCTCACGGGATGTTCAAGTCTAGTGGAGCTCCCGTCCTCTATTGGAAATGCCGCTAATCTCCAAATATTGTTACTTGATATGTGCACTAGTCTGGTCGAACTGCCATCCTCTATTGGGAATCTTCATAAATTAAGAAAGTTGAATGCAATTGGATGCTCAAAGCTAGAGGTTCTTCCTACCAACATCAACTTGGAATCTCTTGACGAAGTTAATTTCCGTGATTGTTCAATGTTGAAAAGTTTTCCTGAGATTTCCACACATATTAGGTTCCTAGATCTCGCGAGAACTGCAGTAAAAGAAGTTCCTTTGTCTATCAACTCATGGTCTAATCTTTCTTCCTTGAGCATGTCATTTATTGAAAACCTCGAGGAATTCCCGCATGCTCTGGATATCATCACAACGTTGGTATTTGAAGATACAGAAATGCAAGAAATTTCTCCGTGGATCAAGAAAGTCTCTCGTCTTGACTTTCTTATACTCTTAGGATGCAAGAGGCTAGTATCAATCCCACAGCTTCCGGATTCCATAAATCACATAAACGCAGAAAATTGCGACTCATTAGTGAGACTCGATTGCTCCTTTCACAGTCCAAAGAAATATCTTCAGTTTATTAACTGTTTCAAACTGAATAAAGAAGCAAGGGAACTCATCATTTAGACTAGTACTCGCTGTACGGTCTTACGTGGTGAAAAATTGCCTGAAAACTTCACTTACCGAGCTAATACTGGAAGTTCCGTAATGGTAAATTTGATTCAAAGACCATTTTCTAAAACCTCGAGATTTAAGGCTTGTATCTTGCTGGTTAATGAAGGTGACAAGGAGAAGGAGGTGTTTGGTAGGAAAGAAATGAGAATATCGTATCTCATCATGGAGAAACATAACCCTGGCGTCTCTGTTCCATGCAGACCACTGGGCTACTCTCTATCTTACTCTTTTACCGAACATCTGTACATCTTCGAGTTTGAAGGAGATGTGACATCTAACGCGCTGTTCTTTGACTTCAAAGTCGACCGTAGCGACAAAAAGATAAAAGAGTGTGGGGTAATCCAACTCTAAGTCTGCCATTATGGATGTGAAGTCTGAAGATAAATGCTACGAAGTTAACACTGGAACTGAAGTCGATGACAGCGTAGAAACGAAGAATAGCAGAAAATGAATGAAATTTCATCAATGAGATTCCTTGTGAAGTTGCAGGGCTTGTTGATTGATATTGCACTTTTAACCTTTACATTTTAAATGATTGTTACTGTGTGATGTTGGGCAATGTGTTATTGACAAACTATTGAATTCAGTATAATGTATGTTGCTTACGTATTCCCGTGAGATTTCCAAGTTGACCCAAAAGCCAAAGATTAGCCAAACAAGGCTTCAGAAACGAGCAAACCTGCAAAGAATTTAAATTATATTAATCTTATAATCCACCAAACGAGACAGAGGACTATGTGTGAAACAGAGATATGAAAATCTGAAGGTGTGAGAACAGAGATATTCTCTTACTTTTTGTGTTGTATCATTTGATTTGAACATTTTAGCTAGCTGACTCGAGGAGGAACTATGCAACACAAGCTATTACTTGTAAGTCAACATCTACAAGCTTTTCAATATTTCAGAACTCAAATTCCTTTATCTCATCATCTGCCAATCTTTCGAGAGATACGACCAGGAGTAGCGCTTTTGATCTTTGCAAGTTTTACAATCTTGAGTACACTTGATGAATTTTTCAAGCTTCTGAGTGGGGGCTTGTACAAAATAGTCATCAGGCACTGTGTCAGGATCCAGACCCAAGTATACGCAATGTGAGAGATTAAGAATCGCTAGGTTTTGGAGGCCTGTGATTAGCGATAAAACTCTTGTAGTCGTGACGTAAGAGCATCGTAAACTCAACCTCTCGAGGTTCTGGAGGTACAGGGCGATTTGCTCAGCAGTGGTCTCTTGCAAATAACCCATAAATTTGAAGTTTGTAAGATTACTGCAGTTTTCTCCCACGGCTTGAAAGTCGAATGTCCCGGTGCAAAGCTGATAATCTTGAGTGATGATTAGTGTTTTAAGATTCTTCCATCGACTGAACGCAAACTGAAATGACTCCTTGGTTTTATAGCACCAGACCGGTAACACAAGTTTCTCTATGTTTGGCATCCTGGGAAACAATACATAAAATGAGCTCCTCCTTTTGTACATGACTTCAACTATGATTCATTTACATAAAGATGATATTTACCTCTCAGCAGCGAACATGAGATCCTCCGTTTGTATATAAGAATTGAAGTGAAAGAACAAATTCTTCGGGGCCATGCGGCTCAACTTGGTGATCTTGTCTAGTAGATTCATAAGAGTTAGGTGTAAGACACTATAGTCACAAAAGAATTTGCTGACATTAACAAAAATACTCCTAAAGCTTAGCCCTTTAGCTACTTCTTCGTCGACCCGGTGCTCGAAGAAGATGATTGGTCGGACTCGATCCTTATACTCCATAAAATAAGAGAAGTCCACTTGTTTGAGCTTAGTAAGGTCTACAGTGTTCCACAAAGTTTTGTTGTGAGAGGCAAGAAACCAAGAAGTGCATACGCGTGAAACTCCCAAGGTAATGTCCATCATGTCGAGCTTATCGAAAATAACAGCAAGTATGTCTCTGTGCAAAGTTTCCCACTTTGGAACTTCTCTTGACCTGTCTACCTTCTCCACCACTTCACAGCTACAGACAGAGCAGAAAAATGTTGAAAACATTTTAGATAGATTGATTCTTGAATTCATGTTAAAGCTTGCACAATAGAAGCAAAACAAGAATAAGCATAAACGAACAACCTCGCAAATTGTTGAACAACGTAATTCCTAGAAAGAAGAGTTGTCGAATTCGTAGTTAACAGCGAGTTTTCAAGTAGCCCCTTGAGACCGTCTGATTTTTTCATCGTACTGAGAATGCAAACTCTACAAACAGATTAATATCTCTCTTGAGCAATATGTCGAACACCTTCTATGCAGACTAAACAAGAACAAAAACAAAAAAGGTTATTACTTTGTTACGTTTCTATGGCTAGGTATGATTCGAAATCTCAACTCTGTAACTTCTCAACTCACCCAATTTCATAATCAATCGAACAAGAAATCAAAAAAAGTTTTTTTAAAAAAGAGATTTTTTTGTTTCCTTCAATACGTCAATGGTGAAGAGATCTAACCCAATTCAAGAAACTACTAACTCAATTAAGATTAGTACGAAGATCAATGATTCACGAGTAACGATCTACAAAGCCTCCATTCGGCAAAAAAGAAGCTACAAAACCCCTAACAATATTTCATTTAACAAAAACAATTTATTTAAATTCGTAATAGGAGGAAAAGTCCTTAAACCCTACAAAATAAAAAAAATTACAGATCCAACCAAAGAATTCGACCCAAACCCGAACAAATATTGGATACCCACTTTTCTTTAGTTACCCTAATTTGAAAAGTAAAAATAGATCTGTAAAAAAAAAAAAACAAACTCCGACGACTCTTCCGTCGATTCTCCTTCTTCTCTCTTCGTCTTCGTCGCTTCGTCGTCGGAGATATAAGTCGTCTCTTCTCCTTCTTCTCTCTTCGTCTTCGTAACCTCGCCGTTTGTCTCTCCTTCGTCTTTGCTCTCTCCTTTCGTATCTCTCTTTGTCGCCTCGCCGTCGGAGGTAGTCGCTCGTCCTAGCTCGTCGCTGGCCGCCGGAGCTCGTCCTCATCTCCAACTCGTCGACAGTCTTCTTATTGGTAAGTTCTCTTCCTCTTTGACATTTTGTGGTTCCTCCTCCTCACGTTGAAACAAAGTCGTCGATACTCTACTGACACTTGTCCTCATATGTAGAGTTTCCTAGGACTGGAATTGAAATTGAATTTGGAATTGGAATTATTCATTGAAACCGGATTTAAGTTCGCTCTAGGGATTGGTATTCAAATTGTATTTGGAATTGAAATTGGAATTGGCATGTTGTTTCTCCGTGAGTAAATCTGATTGGTATTGAAATTGTTATTGATTTAGTTGTTGTTCTCTCGTCAGTGATGGCTCGTGTAAAAGACGGACGAAGAGTTTATGAGTCAACAAGTACTGAAGCTAAGACTAAGACAGATGCAACTTCGGAGACTGATGTTGGAGAAGAAACAGAAGCTGAGAAAGAAAAAAGTTTGAGTTCATGTGAAGAAGCTGGTCAGGTACGTTTGGAGAATGGGAAGAATTGGTAATAAAATTAGAAAGTTACTCTTAAAATAACTAGTTCAACTAGAATAACTAGTAAGGTTTTTAGTTTGAGTACAACAGCAGACAACTAAAACAGCTTTTTAACTTTCTGAAAATGCAGGATTTAGATGATAATGCTGATGGAGAAGAGGATGGTGAGGAGGATAGTGAGGATGGTGAGGATGGTGAGGATGGTGAGGAGGATGGTGAGGATGGTGAGGAGGATGGTGAGGATGGTGAGGAGGATGGTGAGGATGGTGAGGAGGATATTGAGGAATCTGGGGAGGAAGAGGTTGAGGAATCTGGTGAGGAAGAGGATGAAGAGGATGAAGAATCTGGTGCGAAAGAGGATGAGGAATCTGGTGAGGGCAGTGATAAGGATGAGGATGAAGCTAGTGATGAGGATGATGATTCCCATGCATTGCCTCCGGAGAAGATGTACTTTGGTCCAAGTGAGTACATGAAAAGCTGTAAGATAGGAACTAGGTGTAGTGTGACGCAGACAGTGGAGTACATAGAGACGTTTGAGACAGAAGTCAGTTGGTTTAGGAAACATCCTCAGTTCAAGCACATATTTCACATGCCTAAGGAGCCAAACCACATGACTCAAGGCATGTGGATGCTTTTGCTGAGGACAGCATGTACAGAGATGGTTAGAGAGGCTTGGTTTGTGGTAAATGGAGTGCCCATTAGGTATTCGTTGAGAGAACACGCACTTTTAACCGGGTTGCACTGCCATGAGTATCCCAAAAACTGGAAGAAGTTGGGTGATCTAAAGTTTGTAAAGAGGATCTTTAAAAGGGATGGAAAAATTAGAATAAAAGATGTGGAAGAGAAGCTGAAGGGAATGAGGAAGGGGAATATAGACACAAAGAAGTTGATTGTGCTATATTTCTTATGCAAGGTGTTGAAAGCAGATTCTAAGGGTGATGGCTACATTGAGGAATTTCTGCTTAGTGTTGTAGACGATTTGAATGCTTGTGAGAGATTTCCTTGGGGGCGTTACTCTTTTGAGTAGTGCATGAAAGGACTAAGAAGGGTGGCTAGGAACATGAAAGGGTCTGTTAAACCAAAAGCGCAACCAGCATTTTGTGGATTCATTGTTCCTTTAGAGGTAATTCTATTTCTTTCAATTCTGTGCATTTAAGTTTCTTATGTATACAATATTAACACTATGTTTTTGTTACATATGATGTAGATTCTTGCATTTGAGTGTATTCCACACCTTGGAAAGAAATTTAGAGAAGTTGTACCCGCTGCGGAAGATTGTCCAAGGATGTGCAAACACAAGTTCATTGATGCTTCCATGAAAGGTTATCGATTGGAAGAAATTAATTTGGCGCTTGGGAACATTACGGTTGGATTTTCTGAACTTTTGAAGTTTTTCAGAAATGTGTATATATTTTGTGTTTGTATCTAATGTCAAGATATTTGGATGCACAGGATATTACCAGCATCTTGCTTCCGGACAGATCAGAGAAGTCTCTTATGGCACGTTGTGTAAAAGATGATGATGTTGATGAAGGTATTGGTGCCATTGATCCCATTGTTTCTAGTTGGAGACAAAGATTAATTGTCGAGAAAAAGAAGATTTGGTGGATACATCTGTACGATATGGACGTGCAGTCTCGGAGTACAAGTGAGAATGTTGAACAGCTAACTGAAGCTGGAACATCAGGAACAACTGGAACCAAAGCACCTTCCACTGAAAATGTAGTCCCAGACGAAGTTTCAGCTATTATGTCCCTAAAGGAAGCGATGGAAAAGAGGTTTGAGGAAATTTTAGAGAAGATCAGTGATCTTAATGTTCGAGTAGAAGCTCTTGAGATCATCGCTTCAACGAGCATGGAGCAAGAAGCAAAAAATCAAGGAGGAATGGAAACTGAGACACCTTTAGATAGTGGAGAACCAATGGATGCTCAGACACCTCTGGATATTGGAGGACCAACGGATGCTCAGACACCTCTGGATAGTGGAGGACCAATGGTTGTTTATACTGGAGTTAGTCAGCCAGTTGCTGTTAATGGTGAGGTTATAAGTGATTATTTTGGTGAGTATGATTTTTGGATTTATTGGTTTATTTTGTTGTTTTTTTGGTGTACAGATGATGATGAGAAAGAGAAGAATGAGAAAGAGAAGAAGGAGACAGATGAGGATGAGAATGAGAAGAATGAGAAAGAGAAGAAGGAGACAGATGAGGATGAGAATGAGAAAGAGAAGAATGAGAAAAATAAGAAGAAGAAGAAGAGGGAGTTGAGTGGAAGTGTAATCGAGACGGGGAAGAAGAGAACAAGGCAACCATCGATCAAGTTAAAGACACCGTTTGTAGGGGACGTGAAGCGTCTAAAGAATTAAATCAGGTGATACAACTAGGTATTTGTTTAAAAGGTACGACTAAGTTAACAAGTACAACTATGTTATAAAATTGGTACAATAGGGATAACCATAAATATCTGGTACAACTGAATAGAGGGTACAACTTAAGGACAACTTTCTATCTGGTACAACTTATAAAAAATTGTACAACTTAATAACTTCGATCAACTTAATAGATGGGACAAGTCCAATATCTGGTACAACTTACAAACTTGTACTACTTAATAACTGGTACAGGTACAATACTACCATTTAGAAAGCAAATCCTTTAGCCTATCAATTTCGCTTTCTTTCTTAACTAATCGCTCCTTAAGATCATCAATTTCTTCACGCATTAGACGCATGTTTTGACGAATTGACTCCAGTGCTGGATTAGAACCACCTCCATATCTGAAAGCGCGAACGATAGATTCATTTTGCTCTGCCATTCTCCTCTTTAACCATGAGAGCTCCTGATCTACCGCATCATCCCACCACTTAGTAAGGTGCACTTCACCATCCTTAAAACAACCAAACAAGAAATGTATTCAATATTACTACTTGATTAATTGGACATATCACAATTTTAGGGTTCTCAAATTTACCTGATTCATTGGACATTTCAAAAATTTTCTTCCTTTATTCCTCTCATCTGTAGACGCTTCAACTATCAGAAATGCACCACACCAACAATTAATCGGTTTACCATAGTCACCATCTGCTTCAGCCCAGCTATTATCTTCTACCGGTGCCTCTTCAGATGATGAACTTTGTGAATAACTGATTGGCATTATGACTGCTCAAATAAAAAACCATTGTCAAGTAACACCAACAAAATCATTGTAAATTTCGACAATTAAAACTTGGAAGATCTACACTTACTTCCTTTTTCTCTGCGCCGCTGCTCCTCTTTCTTTCCGTCTCTCTCCTCTCCTCTTCTTTTTAAAAAACCCTAGATCTACGATAGAGAAGCAAAATTCCGAAGCAAAAGGAGGAGTTATATATGTATTATGTATTATATAAATAAATATCCATTCAAATAGTGTAATATATTTTATTATAGTGTGAACACGTTCTAGTGGGGCCTGATAAATTGTATAAAAATGCACATAGTTGGTCTTAATTGTTCAGTTGTACTTGAATCAACAAAGTTGTATTTTACAGATATTCTTATATAATCAGTTAGACAAACAACAAAAATTTTCTTTTGTAGTTGGTCTAAAGAGATTACACAATTAATTATCATTTAAATAGTTTTCATAGGGAAAATATAACCAAACCATACATTTCGTATTTTTTCCATCATAATAGGTGATCACATAATAAATGTTCCTTAAAGTATAACAAGTTGTTTTATGTGAAACAATGATTCCACCATACATATTCTTATATTGAATGTAAATTGTTTAGTGTACATAGTTAAATTGTTTTCCTCATTTGATTTATGTATCTGAACTCTATTTTATATACAAATACAAATCGGTATACATATCACAAACAGTTGAACCCAGTGGAACTGGTTGTTTGATTTCAAATACAACTTAAATACGCATACATATATAGTAATAGTTGAACATACTGGAACCTGGTTGTCTGATTAAAAATACTACTTAAACACAAGTACAAATATAGTAATAGTTTTCCCAGTGGAACTGGTTGTCTGATTAAATATCCAACTGAAATACGCATACAGATATAGTAATAGTTGAACCTAGTGGAACTGGTTGTCTGATTTCAAATACAACTTAAATAAGCAAAGGGCAATAAACAAACAAATCTCCAAGTCAAGTCATAGGCTCAGGAACTTCAGGCTGCAACCACTTCTCCAAGTTAATTCCAGGCTGAGACTTGTTGTTTTTCTTTCTCTTTCGACGTCGTTCTCCTGTGGATGCAAACCGTGTTTCTTGATTTCTTCCCACATTTTTTGTGTACTCTGGCGGTAAGGCAAATAATTCGAGAACATCAGCAGGAATAGTCCATTTTTCCTCATGCGGCACTACATAGATCGTCCTGCAATACGCAATTGCCCATGTCTCAATCAAGTAATAAACTGAGCAAAGATCAGCGAGTTGGATATTAGATGTTCTTCCTTCATTCTGTTTCATTTTCATAGCTGCAGCTATAGCATGAACACACGGATACTTGTCTATATCAAAACATAAACAAGAACAAGTTTTACTTTTCAAATCAACCAAATAAGTATGCCCATCACCACATCCAGTAACGTTGTACTCTAGCATATAGCTGTTCAGTTCAACGACCGTTAAAAGCTTAGCACTTGCACATCGTGCATGCAACAGATTCTCTACAAAGGGCACCACTTTCTTTCCTGCTGGTGCACCAACAGATTCTTTCCTATATTTGTTATACCATTCTGAAAATTTCTCAATGATGGCATCAATCATAGGTAATAGATGGTACTTCCTCGATTTCCTAAACACATTATTCATAGATTCTGCGGAGTTGCTAGTGTCAATATTGTACTTATCTCCTTCACAATGGCACCTTGCCCATTTCTCCAACCCTATCTTGTCATCCAAATAGACACCAGCTGTAGGAAACCTTGTTTTAAAATCAGCATATGCTATGTTGAACTGACTTTTAGTATAAATATGAGCGCATTCCCTGAATTTTTCTGCAGCTAAATCCTTGTCTTTCTTCACTTTCACTCTGATGTTTTGAGATAAATGCCATACACAATGCGCATGAACTGATTTAGGATATACTTCCAAGACTGCCTTGATGATGCTTCTATGTCTGTCGCTTATAAAAACTAAACCAGGTGCATCCGGTATTGCAGTTTTCAGCCTTTCAAAAAACCACCTCCAACTAGCATGATTCTCACTATCAATCACACCAAAGGCAATTGGATAGTGGTGATGATTTGGATCCTGAGCTGTTGCAAAAACTAGCATACCTCCATACACAGTCTTAAGGAAAGTTGCATCAATAACAATTACTTTCCTCATTGCCCTAAACCCTTCAACACTCGCTCCTAAAGCAATGAATAAGAACTTGAACCTTTTATCTTCATCTAATTCCACACTTGTTATTGTCCCAGGATTGACAACTTTTAACATGTGTAGATAAGAAAACAAAAGCTTGTAGCTTGTTTCAGGACATGTTGCTTGTTTCAGGACATGTTGTTTTTTCCCTCTTAAGGCAGTGGAGTAGGAACAACTTAAACCAAGTCTTCCTTGAACAATACTCATGATGTTTTTTGGAGCCGGCGTATCAAATTGACATGGATAGTCTTCATGCAAAACTGATGCTACTAGCCGTGGTGTTCCTCTCTGTCTAGTATAACTTGTACTCTGAACAGACCGCGAGCATTTATGCATATTCCTGTATACTCTGACACACCAAAAATCAGATTTCTGAATTTTTGCAACTCGCAAGTACCAGTCACAACCAGTTGAAGCTTGACTACATTTAACCATAAGACGCATCGGATCCGACTTAACTGTTTTCACATTAAAACAGTACTTATTCGAAGCTTTGTTAATCAAATCCCACACTGCCTCCTTAGAACTAAATTCTTGATCAACTTCAATTCCCATTCCATCTTCCCATTCTGTAATAAACTGACTTTCTCTACTTAAAGGAAGTGGAAGCTCAACATCATCACGCAAAACATCATCACGCACATCATCCAAACCCTCATCCATCGGGCTATCCACATCTGCAGGTGATACACGTTCAATAGCAACATCTTTTTCAGATATAATTGTTTCATTCTCTATAACCTCTTCAATGATCGGCTGTTTTGATGTTTCCCCCTCTCTAAAAATAGTAAGCATTCCTGCGTTACATATATCATAATTCACACCAACTGAACTTCGTCGTTCCACTGCTCTTGATACTTCCTCAACGAGTTTCTCATTGTTTTCAGAAACATTGCATAACTCAACATGTAAAACTGGTTTAAGTCCCTCTGTATCCAATGATGTTAGGAATACTAAAACATCAGCATCATTTACTATGTATGCCTCTCTCCGAGTTTTAGATAGACTGTAACTTATTTTAAGCTTCAACCTGGCTCCATCTAACTCAACCTTGTTGAAAATCTCATCTACTAACATCGAATAAGTAATCTTCTCTAAAGATGAGGACTTAAATCCAATAGCATACATGCAACTACTGTAAATCCACTCATGCTCTTATGAATAGTACCCTCCATATTCAAACTGAACGTTCGTGTGGATGCTCTTCATCTTGTCCTAAATAAATAACAAAATCAGACATCAATATTAAACATCCGCACACAGTTATACCATCTGTACCAGTGGAACTAACTATATCTGCTGTTCCAATTGTCCTAACTATATATGTTGTACCATTTGTCCTAACTATTTATGTTGTACCAATTGTTCCATTATCTCACCGTCTGCAACTTTTCCAAAACCCTAATCTAATCCTTATCGATCATACACTCTATTAATTACCAATGCAAATACATAATCGACTAATTAAACATGAATACTAGCCAAGACGGACATACCCAAACACCTAATCTTTACCAAAACCCTAGTCTAATCCTTATCATTCATACATTCTATTAATTACCAATGCAATTACATAATCGAGTAATTAAACATGAATACTAACCAAGATGGACATACCCAAACACCCAATATTCGTATTCAATTTGAAGCTCAATCACTTACCTCAATTACAAATCTCAACGAAGATATCGTGACTCAAAGAGAACTGCAACGAATAGGCCTTCACAAGGCACGCTTCTCGTCGTTGCAATGTTACTCTTTTTTGGAAAGACGCCGTATCAAACGAAATCGCCGGAAATTTGAGTCGACAGAGGAGGAGGAGGAGGAAAAGAGAGTGAGGAAAAGGGAGGGAGGTGAACCCGATAAAAGAGAAGAGAGAGGGAAAAGGAAAAACAAAATTAATTTTTTACAAAATTGTTTTTGTTTTTGTTTATAATTTTTTTTTAATTTATTCGTTAAGGTTATTTTGGGCAATTCACTTATACTCTCCTTGAAGAGGGCAAGCAGATTATAAAGGGGTGCGTCAGATTTTTACTTTGCCAAATGGGGGCTTTGTGGGCATTGTTCCATGATTCACGCAAACTCAACAACGAGAATCACAGCTAAAGCTTTTTACTTGGAGAAGAAGGAGAAGAGGAAAGCGAAGAAAACCCTCTAAACAAGAAGAGAGTCTTTAAATTGTTCTAAGCCTTCTCGAAACTTCTGGTTCGGACAGAGTCTCTCGATTTTTCTTACAATCTTCAAACTAAGTCGGGACAACTAATCGAGATTATGGAAATTCTTATGTCAATATGATAATTTAGGAAGTTTATCTTAAATTGTCATTAGTCAATATATACTGTATATATTTAAAATTTTTTGTATCTAATCTATGTATTCTAGAATTAAAATTGGGAGACGACAAAAAAAAAAAAAAAAAATTAAAATTGGTGAGATATGTTTTATCTTAATTGAAGTCCTATAATATTCTTCATCAAGTCATACCATATATATGTTAATTTCTAAAAGTATTATATTTAACAAGTTTATCTTTGGTGTATTGGTTAAGTTGATATTTTAGTCCATAATCGTACAAGTTCAAACCTTACAAACAAGTAATGATCATAAATATTTAATAACATTAAAAAATATAAATATTATATAACTTTTCCTAGGTACAAATATTATATAGCATTAATAAAGTAATTTTATTATTAAAATTTAATATATTAACTGTCGACCAATTCATAACTACTAAACTTTTATATAAATAATTTATTTTTAATTTAATTTTAGCTACTTTAATTTATAAAAATATTGACATGTACGAAAAAATTTGAATTAACAATTGGTCTCACCATGCCTTCAATTACAAAATTTACATTTTTTGGAGAAAACAACTTTAGAAATAATTAAGATATTGTGAATCTCACATAAATAATCAGTTTTTTTTTTTTTTTGCGATTCAGTTTCTATTTATAGTATTCTAATAAAATAGAATGTACATGTTCGCTTTCATAGAATATAGAGAAATTTTTGAAGATTATGTTTTCTAACAATTTTAGAACATGAGTAAATGTTAGAAAATGTATTTTAATTATCATAGAACAAAACTAACTTCTAAATTTCATAGAACATGTAGAGTGTGTATAATACATTATCTAAATTTTGTAGAACATATACAATTTATACAATACACATTCTAAACTTAGAAGATGTATTCTAATGTATATCATATTTTATCCATCCAAACAGCAACAAAAACAACATATGAATGGTAATTTAATTAGGAAGAGTTGATATTTGTTCATAGAATACATAGTGAACAAAGTTTTATATATTTTATCTTTTATTTCCAATTTTCTCATTTATGTCTATATCATCTATGTACCTTACATTATTCACATGCATGAAGGACCAAGAAGTGAAGAATAACCTTTTTCTCATCGTTTATGTATGGATGCCCGAAATCATGAAACATAGTAACACATACATCTTGTAAAGTTGTAATGACAATATTTATATATATAAGAGCCACATATATAAGTAAATTCTTGATTGTAAAATAGAATCCGGTAATTTCTTTTTGGAAAAAACATCAATAAAGCTTTTTCAAAAAGCTCAGAATTCAAGTTCTTTGATCTCATCATTACGCCAATGCTTCTCGTAAAAAGCATCTGATCCGAATATGCGAGATCGATCTTCACACAACTCGCAGCCGACTTTTGAACACATGATTAATGTGTCAATCTTCTGAGTGGCGGTTTTGATGAAACTATCCTCAGTTAAAGAATCCTTCAATAAGGTTTTGATCATACAATGTGAGAGATTGAGGATCGTTAGGTTTTGGAGGTATGTGATGAGTAAGGAAACTTCATGAGTAGAGTTGATGACACAACATCTCATACTCACTCTCTTGAGCTTTGGGAGGTAACACACAATTTCCTCTGCTATAGATTGGTCAACATGACCAGACAGTTTTAGATTGGTGAGATTTGTACAGTTTTCTCCAACGAATCGAAGCTCGAATATCCCCTTGACGTAGAAGTGTGTAGAGATGATTAATGTGTGAAGGTTCTTCCATTGACTGAATGCAAATTCATATGAACTTTCACGTAGATTGCAACACTGAGGTAAGACAAGTTTTCTGATATTTGGCATCCTGAAAATCAAGAACTATATGAGAAAGAGAGAAGACGCAAATCCCTTTTAGGTTTCTTGGTATTCATGGCTAAAATATCTCTATCCATATCCTTCTAGCTTGGAACTTTACTTGATCTCATGAACATCACACCATAGCTACAAAAGTGAGAAAGATAATAATATAATAAGTTATTTAGATAGCCAATGAATTAGTAGATTCTTGAAATTATAGAACAGAAATAAATAGATGAAGAAAAAAAAACATTGAACTAAGGACAGATTTCATAGAGAGTGTCCATCTCTGGATTCTTCTTGCACAATCTAATCTCTCCATCTCAATGCCTCTACAAGAAAAGAAAAAAAATCTATTAGAGATTTTGAAAGACTAAAAGAAATAGAAGAAGAAAACAAAACTTATATGAAAACCTTTACGGACAAAACTTCTACACAACACAATAAGCAGCTTTGAATATGTGTACCAAAAGGTTCAACAAGTCGCATGCATAACATATCATATGCATGCCCATAAAAGTTTTATTACACAAACCTAATCCGTTGTTGTCCTTGAACAATGAGATGACTTTTTGAACTCTTGTCTACGGCCTCATTAACCTAAATATTATTTGTGGTATGTTTCCAATTTCCCATGCAGAGCTTTCACACCCAACGGTTTCATTTTTTGAACATCTGATAAGTTTGTCAAGCTTCTGAGTGACAGCTAGTACATTATCATTTATTCTGATAAAATTATAACGAGAGTATTTGGCAATGTGTCAGGTTAAGGACCGTGAGGTTTCCAAGGCCTCTGACTAGTGAGAGACCTCCTTCAGTATTGACAAAAGAGCATCTCAAACTCAACCTCTCGATGCTCTGGAGGTAACGCACTATTGTCAGAGCTTCGTACGTGTCCAAGAAACCCATATATAATTTTTAAGTTGTTGAGGTTACTACAGTTTTCTCCCACAACTTGATACTCGAATGAGGTCCAGATGAAAAAGTCATTATGAGCCAAGATCAGTGTTTTAAGATTCTTCTACTGACTAAAGGCAAACTTAAATGAGTTCACCTCATTAAACAGTGACCATGAAACCGGTAAAGCAAGTTTCTCTATGTTTGGTATCCTAGAAAACAAAAACATATGAGCTAAATATATTTGCTTTTATTATTTAGTTTGTAAAGATGAGATTTACCTCTCAGCAACAAACATGAGATCCTGCTCTTGTAAATAGCAGTAAAAGTTAAAGAAAAAACAGGCTCATCTTAATTGAAAGATTACTAAAGCTTAGGGCTTCTTCTACTTCATCGTCAACCGGGTATTCGTAGAAGACATTTTTTCCCTTGTGTTTGAGCTTGGTGAGGTCGATGGTGTTCCATAGAGTTTTGTTGTGAGAGACAAGGAACCAATAGATGCATACACGTGAAGCTCCCATGGTACGTAATGTCCATTGTGTCAAGCATATCGAATACAATGGCAAGTATGTTTCTATCTAGAGTTGCCCATGTTGAATCTTCTCTTGAAGTACTGTTTGCCTTCTCCATCACTTTGCAACTATCTAGAGTTGCCCATGTTGCATTCTCTTGATATAATTTCTCTAATAAAAATCCTACATAATTTGTTTCCTTAATTTTTTATTTTAATTTTGATTTTTTTTTTTTAATAAGTAAACTAGGGTTTTGTGTTTTTCTAAGTTAAAATACCAAAAATATCCCACGTTTCCGAGTTTATTAACTAGGGACAGGGCCTGTTGCTTCTCTATTTCAACTTATAAAGAGCAACAAGGGAGACATAGAAATATTTAGGGTTTCTCTGTAAGGATCATGTCGACAAGTCAATCCAAGAAGCGTAAAACAGAGGAAAATTCTCAGTCTCTTGAAAACTTGAAAGAGATGACCTTCGATGATGTTCCTTTGGACCTAGCGATGGAGATATTTATGAGACTGCCTGTGAAATCCGTAGCTAGGTGTCTCCTACTTTCCAAGTTTTGGACCGAAGTGATCCGAAGTCGGCGTTTCATCACGTCTTTCGAGGTTCGGTCTTTGTTGCAGCCTCGTCTACTAGTCGTGTTTATTTTGACTGATACACAACGGAACTGCGAAGATTGGTACTTCTTCTCGCTGTCTTCATCATCGTCAACAACGTCTTATCTATCACGTGTTACATGTCCACTTCCAGATTCTGTGTACCATTCTCATTATGTCAATGGCTTAATAAGCATTGGATATGGTCTAGAGAAACGCGTAGCTAACCCTAGCACCGGTACATCCATTGATAGCTTTACCTAGAGTCAAAACCACAAGTACTGTCCCCTCACATTGCTTTTTCGGATACGATCCGGTTAATGATGAATACAAACTATTGGTATTGTGCATGAAAGAAAAAAAACAACTTGAATTTCGTCACGACCGCTATCAACTTCGAATATTACAACGATCATCTCGACATCAAGTAGTCACATTGGGAGCTAAGAGGAAACGATGGAGAAAGATTGATTACAGAACTCCTCATGGTCCTGTACTTAACAGTGTGTGCATAGATGGTGTTTTGTATTATGTTGCTTTTACGGGCGCTGATATGTCACAGCTGAGCTTAATGAGATTCGATTTGGAGTCTGAAGAGTTGGATCTTTTTACTAGTTTATCAGTAGACTTTATGGCTGAGTCTCTACATGGTTCCACTTTAATGAACTACAAGGGGAAAGTAGCCTTAGCCACTAAATCTTCAGTTTATAAGTTTGAAGTGTGGGTTTTGGATCAGCATGCCAAAACACATGGATGGTTGAAGAAAAGTTTCGTCATTACGGGAACTAAGAAAATTTTAAAACAACATATTAATATAGATATCATAGGCACAACTCACACAGGTGAGTTTATTTTGGCACCACGGTGCTATTCTAATGAGTTTTATGTTATCCATTTCAATCCCGACACGGATGGTTGTAGAACAGTCAAGGTTGAATTACACGGAGACTACGGGTTCAAGTATCGGGAAACAAAAGCAATGGTTTTTTTGGATTATGTAGAGAGTGTTAGGTTGTTGTAGGAGAGACAGATTCATACTTTGATACCTATAATACTTGAATTGTTGGCTATTTTTCAAGAGACTGGTTGGTCTGATTTACTCACGTATTTAAAAAGACTAACCGTTTAGCAGATGGGTTAGCAAACTATGTTTTTTTAGATGTGGATTGCATCCTATTGATTTTTGTCGCGACAACGTTCATTTATTGATGTTGGAGAATACTAATGGGAAATTGGGAATGAAAACATATGAGCTAAATATATTTTTTTTTATTATTTAGCCACTAAATCTTCAGGTTATAATTTTGAAGTGTGGGTTTTGGATCAGCATGCTGAAACACTTGGATGGTTGAAGTAAAGTTTCAGTTTGGGAAGTATGAAATACTGTATTTACAATCAAATACTACTTTAGTTATCATAGGTACAACTCATACAGGTGAGTTCATTTTGGCACCATGGTGCTATTCTGATAAGTTCTATGTTATCCATTACAATCCCGACAAGAATGGTTTAAGAAAAGACAAGGTTGAATTACACGGAGACTATGTGTTCTAGCATTCGGATATAAAAGTTCCGGATTATGTAGAGAGTGTTAGATTGTTTGTAGGAGAGACATAGTTTCATACTTTGATACTTATAATTGTACATACTAAGTATGAATCTTTTTTAATTACTTTCAGAGAAATACATTGAATGCTTCAGCATAATGTATTTCACAAAAAGATATGTTATAGTGATATGATCGAAATTATATACTTTGATGCTTATATAATTTAAGTTATCTTTGAGCAACAAATTTATAATTCTATTAAAAAATGTAGCTAACCTTTTGGTTTTTCTTAAAAACCATATTTCCCTTCATGAAAACCACTAAGCCTCACCAACAATGACCATCTCCCATGTTACCATCAGCATCAAAACACTAGTTCTTCTCAAAAAGTTCAGAATTCAAGTTCCTTTATCTCGTCCTTTCGCCAATCCTCAGAAAGAAACGACATGTGATAAAAATTTCAAGCTTCTTAGAGACGGCTATTACAAAAAAGTTGTTGGTAGAATTTGCAAAAGGAAGATAACTATACGGGTATTTGCAATGCGAAACATTAAGAATCGTGAGGTTTTGAAGGCCGGTTATTAGCTTGTAAACTGTCTCCATACTAACCAAAGAGCATCGCAAACTCAACCTCTTGAGGCCCTGGAGGTAACTCACCATTTCACTGGCCTTGTATTCTATAAGAAAACCCACATATTTTAAGTTGGTTAGGTTACTACAGCTCTCTCCCACAGCTTGAAACTCAAATGTCCCAGTGAAAGATTCTTCATGAGCGATGATCAGTGTTTTAAGATTCTTCCACTGACTAAAAGCAAACCGCATTGAATTCTCGGTTAGATAGCACCAGATTGGTAAAGCAAGTTTCTCTATATTTGGCATCCTGAAAAACAAAACCAAACAATAAAACTTATGCAAGCAAATCTGATTTGAGATGATTCACTAGGAGGTAAAGATGATAATTACTTCTCAGCAGCGAACTTGAGACCCTTTTCTTGTATATATGAATTGAAGTTAAAGAACAGATTCTTGGGGGCCGTGCGGCTCAACTTGGTGATCTCAATCAATAGATCTATGAGACTTATGCCGCCTTCTACTTTGAAAAGGTTATGAAATGACCTGGAGATGATCTTAGCCAAAAGATTCTTATGAAGGCCTCCAACATCGTCAACATGTTGGTACCTGTAGAAGAAGATTGGTCGTACTTTACTCTTAAAGACAAAACTGTTGGAGACATCTAACTCTTGGAGCTTGGTGAGGTCGACGGTGTTCCACAAAGTTCTTTTATGAGAGGCAAGGAACCAAGAGATGCAGACACGTGAAACTCCCATACTAATGTCCATATATCAGGTCGAGCCTATTGAAGATAAGTTCAAGTATGTCTCTATTTACATCTTCCCATTTTGAAACTTCTCCTAAGCTTTCTACCTTCTCCATTAATGCGTTACAACTACAAGAGAAAGAGAGTACCTTTCTATATCAAACAAAAGAAAAAAAAATAAGTCTAGAAGCCCTAATAGCATATATATAATGTATATTACAAAATAATGCTACAACTATTAGTTACAATTCCATATTAGTTACAAGACCAAAACTGCAACTTTACTTCTATACTTCTACTATTTTCTTAATTTTGTGCTTTAAAGAAAAAAAGTAAACAAGCAACTTTAATTTTGTGGTACAATTAACTATGTTATGGAGGATCTAAGGTTCGAATAGTTTGTGGTTGTAAGGACTCACTATTCGTTTGTGATTTGAGATTCAATTATAATGTATAAACAATATCCTTACTTAGAAAATATATTTTAGAATCCTCTCTACAAAAGAAAAATAATAAACAAACAGAGACACCAATTCAAGCTAAAGCATCATAAAACAGCATTATATATAAACTTTATGTTATCAATATAATCAATTAGTAGAAGAAACTCCTTACTTTATGTTATCAATATATTAACTTTATGTTATCAATAAATTAGTAGTAATAATTTATAATCTATAGCAAGTTGATCGAATAACTAGAAGAAACTCCTTACTTTGAGTTTTCTAAGGGCATATGCAACGGCGTACTTAATCGCCGTCCCACCCATTTAAGAAGAAAAAAAATCAAAAAAGAAAAAGAAATGAAAGACGTATCCATAATCGCGACGGTTCTGCGCTTCTTTTTTCATTAATTGCGGACTCCACTGACACGTGGCGGTCCGCGATTGGTTTCTTTGTTTTTTTTTTTTTTTAACTAAAAGTAAAAAAAAAAAGAAATTGATGAAGGACGATTTACCGATGTATATGGTCTAACTTCTGGTTCTGGCTGAGGGGAATTTTGTTTTGTGAAAAAAAAAAGTTAATAACTAGGGTTATATATTTACCATACCATAATGGGCCTGCTGCCTGTATATTTCACTTATAAAGAGCAACGGCGAGACATATACAGTATATAGAGATATTTAGGGTTTCTTTAAACAAGAGTGAACGTTCAGGATCATGTCATGACAACAAGAAGCCAATCCAAGAAGAGGAAAACAAAGAACAATTCTCGACGTTTGAGTTCTTGAACCCAAAGAGTACAACTGTACAAGTCGTTGATAAAATTGTAGACCTTGAAGACACTCCTCTGTGGTTATGTCAATGTTGCCTAAACTACTTCCCTTATTTCCATTCATTCAAAAATCTTCTCATTTACTACACGAACCAGTTCATATATGAAGAATGAGTAAAAGAAAAAGAAAAAAGAATCATATTGAGCGAAGCATATTATGATCTATCAAATAGAGGTTATGAAATAGAATTCATCAATAACTCTCTCAAAACACATCAACTAAATATCAGAATTCAAGTTCTTTAATCTCGTCGTTTCGCCAATGCTTCTCGTAAAACACATGCTCCCGGAAAACGCCAGGTCGATCTTTGCAAACTTTGCATTCATTTTCTGAACATGTGATAACAAGTTTGTCAAGCTTCTGATTATTGGTAGCTTTCCGAAGCTTTTTTATAAAAGGATACCCGCCCAAGTCTACGCAATGTGTCAAGTTAAGGACCGCGAGGTTTCGAAGACCTCTTATTAGCATGAGAACTCCTTCAACATTGATCATAGAGCATCGCAAACTCAACCTCGTGAGGCTCTGGAAGTAACACACGATTTCTTCAGCATAGTTGTTATTTCCCAAATATCCCACAAGTTTCAAGTTGTTGAGGTTAATGCAGTTCTTTCCCACTACTCGAATCTCGAATGAGAACCAGGTGTAAAAGCCATTCTGAGCCAAGATCAGTGTTTTAAGATTCTTCCACTGATTAAAGGCAAACCTAAATGTTTCCACCTCATTAAACAGTGACCAAGAAAAAGGTAAAGCAAGTTTCTCTATGTTTGGCATCCTGGAAAAGAACAAAAACAAAAATATATATATATACACATATGAGCTAGCTAAATATGTTTGTTTTTATTATTTAGTTTATAAAGTTGAGATTTACCTCCCAACAGCAAACATGAGATCTTGCTTTTGTAAGTAGGAGAAAAAGTTAAAGAACACATTCCGCGGAGCCGTGCCGCTCAACTTAGTGATCTCACCCAATAGATTCTTGAGGTTTATGCCTTTTACTCCACAAAAGTTAAAGAAGAACCGGCTCATCTTAGTTGAAAGATTACTAAAGCTTAGAACTTCTTCTACATCATTGTCAGCCCGGTATTTGTAGAGGACGTTTTGTCCCTTGTGTTTGAGCTTGGTGAGGTCTATGGTGTGCCATAGAGTTTTGTTGTGAGAAACAAGGAACCAATAGATGCATACACGTGAAGCTCCCATGGTAATGTCCATTGTGTCGAGCTTATCGAAGACAATGGCAAGTATGTTTCTATCTAGAGTTCCCCATGTTGAACCTTCTCTTGAACTGTTTGTCTTCTCCATCACGTTGCAACTATGGTACATACATCAAAGAAGTAAACAAAGAGAGTAAAAAGCTTTAAAACGTTTTAGATTGATAGATTCTTGAATCCACGTAAAAGCTTGAGCGAACAAAAAGAGAAGAAGATCTATTGGGGAAAAAAAAAAAGTGTTTTCTTACGTTTGCATATTCACGAATCACAAGGACGAAATTATAGTCCTAAATTTAACCCCAAACATAAATGTTAATGTTTTAGACTTTAGAAACATTCCAAATTCCCAAGATATAGCTCGAGTTTCTTTATCTGTAAGTAAACATATATTGTAAAAAAAGAATATTTACTTTTTCCTTCAGTTATTTTAGAAAGTTTCCCTAAGTTGGATTTTTTCCATTTTCGTGGGTTGTCATTGAATCTTCACGTAAGAAATATCTTAAAACTTCAAGTAAAAAACAAAAGAGAATTGCCCATACCAATTTACTCTAAAAGCTGTTGAGGTAAAGGTAAATCAAATATTTTAGAACTACGATTATTACATGTTTGCCCGCTATAGAACGGACCATAGTAGTTGTACGACGAAATAACCATTACAGAGACACTCACGAACTCAGCTTACTACACAGTATTGGGTAATACAACAATACTAATGAGCTTTTATTTGTCTAATAATATGCCTCTCTTTTTTCCCTTCCTTGAAGCTTTAAACTCCCAACAGCTTCTTCAAGTCCTTCTGCAATTGCGAAACAACAAAATTTAACAACTTTGCGGCTCTGAATCAAACAAACTACAGTATTTGATGATGATAAGTAGTGACAGAGAGACATTACCTCAATGCTGAGAGGAGAAGTAGTTGGGGCGTAACGGTCAACGACATTTCCATCTTTGTCAACCAAGAACTTAGCAAAGTTCCACTTGATGCCGTCTCCGAAAATCCCACCTTTGCTTGATTTCAGAAACTTGTAGATAGGTGCAGCTTTGTCACCGTTCACATCAACCTTCATTTCATAGTGCAAGCAAAGGTAGTAGAATCAAGTCCATGTAGTGAAATCAATACTTGAAAAGAAACAACAATATGTTCTGAAAATGATTCACTGATACTAAAAGAGCTGGAATACTTCGTTTTTCGTTTCAAACAAGAGTCTCCATCCCATTTTGAGGTTTCAACTATATGATGATCCAATAATGATACATTCTCAACATTCTACATCTACATCTCATGTCCTAATGAGTAGATTATACACAGCAATGTCAAAAACTAGAAAAACTTCTTCATTTCAAAATGAGATGACTTAACACTTTTGGCATTGAAAAAGAAGTTCTTGAGTTAAGACCACCATCGAACTAACCAGAGAAATCAAGAAAAAGTTATTAGTGTGTACCTTGTCGAAAATGGGGTACTCAGCCTTGAAACGAGTACAAGCAAACTGAACAATCTCTTCATTAGTACCAGGCTCTTGATTCCCAAACTGGTTACAAGGGAAGGCAAGAATCTCAAAACCTGAATCCAAAATTGTAACCCCATCAACAACAACAACAACAACAACAAACACAATCATCAAAACCATGATTACAAATAACAAAACTATACATACCATGGTCTTTGTACTTCTCATACAGCTGTGCAAGCTCAGTATAGTTCGAATTAGTTAAGCCACTGCCACCAAAACAAACATTCTCATATGTCACTAACCAATGAACCCTAACATCACAAAAATCAAAAAAATTTTGAAAATTATTACCATTGAGAAGCAACGTTCACAATCAAGAGAACCTTCCCTTTGTAGATGTTTAGATCAACATCATTACCCTTAGCATCCTGATTCATTCAATTCAAAAACTCTCAAAAAAAACCATTCCAACATTCAAAATCAAAACTCCTGATAAACAAAATCGAACCTTGACGGTGAAATCGTAAATAGATTTGGATTCGGAAGAAGCAGCCATTGAATGCTCCGATCTAGAAAGTTTAGCTCCCGTTGTGAAGATCGGAAGAGAAGTAACAGTAATCAGATGAGGACTGAGTAAAGGTTTCGCGGAATCGAATCGTTTAGATGAGAACAGAGGATTACGAAACGATGAAGATGATAAACTTCGAAGGAGAGGACTGGTTCTTGTTATATAGAGAAGACGAATCGATGATCTGATCATTTGCCAAAAGAAAAGAAAAAAAAAAGTAAAGATTCTATTTTCACAAGATTAGATATTTATTTGGCTTAAGAGGAAAAATAAAATAATAATAATAATTCTCAGCTGCGTGATCCGTGTGTTGTGTTTAGTGGTTGGAGAATGGAGTAGACACGTGGATGTTTTAGAGGAAGCCACGTAGGAGAGACTCGTCGGAACACTCGGGTGTGGCGGTGCGTAATGTGAACCGTGAACGCGAACTTTCTTTTTGGATTATACTGACTGGGCAATTTGGCCCATTAATTTTATTTTTTCTCAACTGTGAACATATTATGTTTTCTACAAGAAGCTTTAAATCTTTAGTTTTATATGATTTTATTTTTAAAATTTTAATTAAAAATAAATTAATCATGAGAAAATAAAAGATTATCATATTGTAATTTATTAAAAGTTTTACATCTCTATGCATAAAATTTTTTTTTTGAATAGAAAACTAGAGTTTTGTTTGGGAGGGTATTGATTTGATATAATATTTATAAAATTTTGTAGATGATTAAAAAATTGACACTGGTTTTTTTTTTCACGGAATTAACCTTTTTATATGTTTTTGAATCTAAATTAACCTATATTTATATAAAAAAAGATATTAAAGAATGACGATTTAGGGTTATTGTTCTTATTTTTATGTAATAAATGAAATTAGTTTTTGACCGAATAGGTGTGAAACTAAAATATGCTTCACAAATTGAATTTGGAGTTCTCTAGCTAATAGAATCTAGAAGCTCACAAAAATACAAATATTGAAAAAAAGAATAATAACTCATAACAAGAAGACAAACTTTAAACGAAATACGTTTTTAGTTTATACCAAATTGGGAAACCTTGGACACGTTGATGCTATATAGCCATTAAAATAAAACACACACACACATTCACAAAATACTGTATATAGCCATCAAAAAAACTCAGAACGTCTTCAAATGAAGAAACTGTAGCTAAAATAAATCCATATTAATTCCACATAATAGCATAAATCTATCATTCAATAATGACACAATATTATAAAATACGACCAGCTAATGTTAGGGAACTTATAGCTAAAGCATACTATCCGTTCGAGCAGGCAACCGGCGGAAGAAGTTAACCGGAACAGAAGGAAGACGGTGCCGGAACCTCGGATGCCTCATCATGAAGAAACCAGCCAAAGCCACAACGATCTGAATCGGTGTAATGAAGAAAACTATGGCTGCAAGAAAACAAAATATAACAAATATAGCGGTCGCGCGTGGATCTCTCCAGCTTAAAAGTGCTTGGAAACGTTCTCCTTGTGTTGCAAGATCTCCAATCACGGTTTGAATCCTCCCAGCCACGCTTCTAAGCCGGTCATACCTTAACCGAACCATGTCAGGGCTTCTAGTGGTTGGAAACGTGTCAAACTCTTCATCAAGTTCGTCTGGATGGACCGCCTCTGCCTGAGAGATTTTCGTGTTCATGTGCGGTGGATAACGCGGTCTGAAACGGTAGTTCCAAAGCCCGATGAGAAACATGTAGAGAAACATTGTTGGTAGGATCAGTTCAGGGAGACAAACAAGCATCAGAAACAGAACATGAACGAGAACGGTCGTGATTGGGTTACGCCACGAGCAAATGTCCGAGAACCATTTCCCAACCGCGATGACGCCGGAGAAAACTTTCATCATCCGGAAGAAATTGGCTTTGCTCTTACGCATACTCCACAAATGTGAATCTGTGTCTGACATAAACTCAATGATCTCTTTCCTTAGAGGAGGCTCTGCTCTGCCTAACCTTGCAGCCACTATATTCACCGCTTGGTGTCGAAGCATGTCCTGTTGCATAACTGAGAATGGTCTTACGTAATGCATTTTGGGTAACAACGGTTTTGAGTATTGGTAAAGCATGTTTGCGAATGAGATGCATGTGAACCTCACGGCCATATGCAGCTCGCCCATCTTCTTCACACCCGTAGGGTGAAGAACAAGTAACGGATAAGAATGTGTGTAGATCCTTCCCGTCTCTAAAGTAGACAACCTTATACGGATCTTCCCAATCTTAACATCTCTGTTTCCCTTTTCACCAAGCTGTCCATTATCAAACACACCAACGGTTAAAACCGTCGCTGGATCGAATACTTCCCACGTATACTGCTCGTTATACTTGGGAGACAAGTTATCCACCATTGTCCTCGTTCTAACCCATTTTTGGCCATATTTCCCGACACAGAAAGTGTCAGAAGTTCCTCTGCCTTCTCTAGTTTTCATCGGGTGAAGTCCAACGGCGTTTAAGATCCCGAGCTCAAGAACTCCAATTGGTTGTCTCCATAAAGGTCTCGCGGATGGGCGGAGATCGCTACTATAATGAGTCGACTCATCTAAAACATGGTATCCTCCTTCAAGACAAACTCGGAGATGAATCCTCATAGAGAACTTTTCTCTTTTGAGCTGATCTACATCTACAACAACTGGTCTCTCCAAATTATACCTATCAAAATACATTTCTATCAAAACCATAAAATAAACCTATAAATTTTAAAATATATTATGCTATATTGTAAGTAGAAGCATTACCACCGGGCATGTATCATATGGTCATCAGCTCGCTTCTCTACAGTGTTCAGAGGAATGTATGTACGTCCAACTATTTCGTCCTTTCCTGGAGCCACCCGGTCCTCGACAGTGAGAACCAAATGGTCTTCAAACGGCTCTGCAACAACAAACAAAAAGTCTTCATTCCATACCGCACCAAGGGTTCGAGCTTGGCATGGTCTGGTCTTCATGACCTGGTTTCCTAGCTGTGCTTTGACGTAAACATCAGGGAACCTGGTTTTGTCTGTCGGAATCAAGTCTTGTGCTTCGATCACGTTCACACGCACATACCATAGACGAGGTGCATGATAGACCTATATATTGATAAACAAAAAAAACAAATCACAATAGAGAATCACATCATTTTGCTTCAAATTCGATGAAAGCAACGTGACATCAATAAATTAATTTTGTAAACACATAATTTAACATCTACATTAAATTTACGTGTAAACATATTCATAAGAATTGAAACTATACATTAGCATATTCAATTCTTTCATATATATTTGGGTTTTTACGCAAGTCACACTAAAATTTGGGTTATTAATTGAAAACAAATGCACCACTACAAAATAATATATGATAAATTGTTACTAATGCCATAAAATATAAACGCAAACTAGAAACAATAAAATCAAGGTCATCTTACCTTTGAGCGGAGAACGGCAGCGATGGCTGGAGTACAGTCAACAGGCATTGCAGTATCAGAATGCCAAGCATCAGAGAAAGCTTCATCAGCTTGTGTACCGATCCAAACAGCGAGCATTAGCTCACCTTTGATCTTCTCCCCTTTCTTGTCCTCTAATCTATACCATTGTGGAGCAAGAGGGCTGTCCGGAGGCACGCGAAGAGGTACATCGTTGATGTCAAACCGAACAAACCCCACATAATCGTCTTTTAAAAGATCTTTGTCCTTAACCACTACTTCCAACATCGAGGCTTGCATTCGCTCTTTCGCGAATGCAAACACTTGGTTCCATTCTGGATGTTGTCTTTTCTCAAAATGTCTTGTGATTCCTTTGTAGTTCCCCACTTTCACCTACAAAAACAAAATGTTTAGAGAAACAGTTTTTGATTTGAATAAAAATGGTTTACGAAAAATTAGTTACCTCAACAAAAGGATCAACACTTCCTGTTATATCCATTATAGGAAGCTCACGAGCTTTGACTACACGGACATAAAGGAAATACATTCTCTCGACAAGATCATAAGTACTCGTAGCGGTTTTGTCTTTGTGTATAACACGCCCACCAACGACTCTTCCACCACCGAGATGTGGGCTTGTTTCCTTAAGTGCGAAATCTGCTGGCTGCGCCGAAGCAATCGAATGCGCATGGACTAGCTTTGAAGGCGGTGCTGGTTGGGGTCTCATCTCGTCTACTTGGTGCTTTGGCACATAATGGTGATTATGTTCGTTAGGATGATCTGGCTCAGCAGCTGAAGAAGAGGGTTGGTTAGGCCCTTGTGCATGTTGTTGTTGTTGATGTTCTTGAGCATTGTTTGGGAGATGGTAAAATACATGACGTTTATCAGATCTATGTTCTACCTTCATTGCTGAAACACACACACACACACACACACACACACACAAATTAGTTCCAAGTAAATCACACTTTGTTGTTCTAAATAATGACAATATATAACAAACAAAAATAAATAAAATTTTTAAATCTGAACTGAATAATTTTTATTTTTTTTATCATTACCAGTTTTCCATAATTTTTATAGCAGATTAAACCAGATTTGATAGCAAACAACGCAAAAATTTAGTATCAACAAATCGAATTGAATAAACCTAAAAACATTTAAAACATATGTTATATCATCAAAGCTGAGGTAATACCTCTTGGGAGCGCCGGATCAAGATTATCTTGATGATCATTAGCAGCAGCAGAGGATTTTAAAGAAGCCTCATCGGTTATGTAAACTTTCAAACCAAGCTCACCTCTCACACGAGAGAAGATCCCACGTCTCTCCATGGGAAAGTGAAGAACAACAGCATCAGAATGAGGAACAAAAGAGGTCCCTGAAAGAGATACCTTGCCAAGGAAGGAACGTCCATTACTAGATCTATTGTGACTATAAGCTTGAGCTTCAAGATTGAGATAATGAAGACGAGATGGATCTGAGATGTTAAAGAAGAAACTCTCGTTCCAAACCGGGTTTAAGTCTCGATCTTTAATCGTTGTTCGGTGCTTCTGACCATCGAAGTATAACTCTACGTAAGCGTTCGATGTTCCTTGTCCGTCTTTTGGGAAGAGATTGTGTGCTCCGATCACGTCTACGCCGAGTTTTAGATTGCTCATCATCATGGTACGTACCGTCGATCTTGTTCTGGTTTTTGATCTGTTGAAGAATCACATTGAAGTGAAGAGAGACTTACGATAGAATCAAGCTCATGACTTCAATCTTGATAAAAGAATCTTGAAATTATATACTACATTATAATATTACTTGCACATG